TGTTCCTCTGGAGGCTGAGTCCGCATTCTGCGCCAGCCCCCTCCCCCCAGCTCCAGGCTTGGGCACCTCCCCCACCCGCTATGGCCCTCTGTCTTTTCCTTCCTCCAAAACAGCAGCCCACAGATACATTTTTCCCAGCCCACCCTCCCTGCAGGCCGTCAGCATGTCCTACTGCATGAACCTCCATGCTCTCATCTCAGCTACCCCAGCCTCTGCAGAATGGCCCTTCCTGGGGCCCTTACAGTTGGCAGTGGGTAAATGCAGGCATGGAGAGGGCATGCATGTCTTTTTTTATTTTTGGCTTTTTTTTCTTTATTGATTAAAGTATTACATATGTGTCCTTTCCTCCCCATTGTTCTCCCCCCACCCCCACCCCATGGCATGCATGTTTTTTTGGGGGAAAAACTTGAGGAAAGGATGTGCAGCTTCCTTTATCCACCCTGTGGTTCTCAGCCCCTCACATTCAGGAAGTTCTCTCTGTTGTCTGACCTCAGTCTCTACTGCTGCAGCCCATTTTCTCCTCTTCCTATGGAAGTGTATTGCAGACGTCTTCCTCTGGAGGACCGGAGACAATTAGTCTTTAAGTCGCAGAAAGCTTGTTCCCAGCAGGAGGGCAGTTGATTTAAGGGTAAGAGGAACTGAATAGAGATCATTTCCAGGAGAGACAGAGCGGAAAGGATGGGTGTAAGGAGCAGGGTTCCACTTAGCTACCTATTAGCTGACCTTGGGGAATTTATTTAATATGGCGGACTCTCAGTCTCTTCAACTGTAAAATGGGTTAATGCTTATCTTGTGCACATTGGTTATGCAGATGGCTATGGGGATTGATGTCCATGGAAGCCAAGAATCTAATACTATGTATGCCCAAGGCTGCATTAACTCGTAATGAGTCATTGTTGTTATTGTGTTAACATTATGAAAGGCATCTCCAGCCCAGGGCCAGGCTGAGGTAGGCCAGTGAGGCCCCCGGGGTGCAAAATTCAAGGAGGCCTTACTCTCAGGGCTGTGCAGGTGCGCTTGGAGCAGCTGGAGAATGGGTGCCTCCTTAAACATTCTGCTCGTAGCCTCCCCCAAGTCCCTGCCTTGCTCCAGACTCCTGGGTTTGGCATCCTAGAGTAGAGTGGTCCTCCAAGAGCAAGACTTGGTCATCAAGTGGCACCAGGTCCATACCCTGCCACCTGCTCCTGAGCTGAGCTCAAGTTGTCCAGCCTGGAGGCCAGGGGCATTCTGAAGACCCCTGGTGGGGCTGTGGTCAGCTGCCCAGAAAGTCTGGGTCCTTGAGATCTAGGTATTTTTTCTGGGACTGGGCAGTGGGTAGGGACAGATGGGGACAGCCCCGATCTGGGCTCCATCTGCTCGGTCCTTCTGCAGCTGAACCTCAGGAGGAAGGAAGAGAAGAGCCCACAGGGAGGCGGGGGAAAGGGTGGAGGGGCTGCGAGGTGAGCTCAGCAGTGGGCTCTACAAAACTCATGCCAACTCTGATCCTGCCATTAACATTACCCTGAGAAGCTGGGCCAGTCAGACCTCTCTGCACCTCAGGAGGGAGGAGACGGGGTCTGAAGTCCCTCTCAGAGCTGTTCTGAGGAGTGGTGTAGGAGGATGGAGGTGTGGGTGTACACGTGTGTGTACACGTGTGGGAGTGGGTGGGGTGTCTGTGTTGCTGAAGGGACTCTGCCAGCCATTGGAACTCTGGGGCAGCCACTTCAGGAGCCCACAGCTGGGGTGGTCTGGGAGCTCCCCTATAGCACGCCCAGGGCCTGGGGCAGGCTTGGCTTCAGGGGAGGCCACCCTCATGTTTCCAGTCCCTTGCCTTTTTCATTCCCAGTCGGCCCAGAACTGGCAGTTCCTGGGAAACAGAAGCAGGACTTCAGTCCCGGAGGACTGGGAAGGGGAGGGTGGGAGCACGGCATGCATGCTGGGCCGTGTTTGCAAACACTGCAGGAAAACGCTGGGTGTTCAGGTCAGGAGGGGTTTTTGGAAATTTTTAGCTCTTCAGAAAGCATCTCAACCAGTAAGTTGAAGGCATTTGATGGCTGGCAAGTGTCTTTCTGTGGCCGGCTTCCAGCTGGCCCGGGGAAAGGGGTGGGGGCCAAGGTTACGGTGCTCAGATGATTGTTGGCAGGGAGAGAAGTTTCTCTTGCACTGCTGAGGCCTGTGGTTTCTAATATTGACTCCGACTCCTGGTCTGCTTTGTGCCAGACCTGGGAGGGGTTGGGCAGGAGGGTCAAGGTGGGGCAGGGTGGGCCACAGGAGGAGGGCCTGGGGTGTGTGGGGTGGAGAGGATAAATAACTGCTAGCATTTACTGAGCGCGTTCTAAGTGCCAGGCCCTGTTCTAAGTGCTGTATGTGCTTCCTCTCATTTGATTCTTTCAACATAGAGCCAGTCTGTCCCATTGAGGAGCAGCACGGATGAAGCGACCCACTTGAGGTCACACAGTTAGCAGTAGAGACAGTCTGTTTAGACCAGCGCTTCTCAAAGGGCCATCCCCAGACCTGGGAACCTGTTAGAAATGCACATCCTCGGGCCCCACTGAGTTCTGCTGGATCAACCCTCTGGGGAGGGCCCAGCCCCTGTGTGTCCACAGCCCTCCAGGTGTTTCTGAGTCACACTCAAGTTCCAGGCGCCCTGGTTCACACTCTGCTCTTCAGGAGAGTCGTGGCCTCCGGGAGGTTTCCCCCAACGCTGGATGAGGGCTCTCGAGGGCCTGCAGTATCCTGGGGCAGGCCCTTCCTCTGCAGCTTCTCCATCTCACCCCATTGCTGTCCTTTCTGAACAGTCTGTCTGGAGAGGCTGGCTCAGCAGAGTGAAGGGTGAGGGCTTTGGAGTGGGGAGAGCTGGGTTCAGATCTCTGCTCTGCAGACTCTGCATATAGAAGGTCTCTGTGATCTGCCCTCCAGGTGTGTTCCTCCTCCCCGCAGGGGGCCAGAGAGGAGGTGCTCCCGCCCAGCCCACGGTCTCCACGGGAGCATCACAGAGCCCTGGATCAAAGGGACAAGTGGGGGTCAGAGGGCCAGGATTTCCCAGTGGGCTCATTTGCCCCCGGCCCAGTGGCCTGTGGCTCAGCAGCGGGGGCTCTGGGAGGTGGCTGGGCGAGGATTAGGCTGGGCTGGGACGGGATGGGACGTGTCATCTTTACTCCTCCAGAGAGCCATCCTCAAACTCCAGGTGGGTCGACCTGAGGGCTAGAGGGGCTTCCTGATGTGCCTCCCCACCTCCTATTCCATTCCTGCACCCTGTCCTCTCTCATCCATCCTAAGCTGCCTTGGCCCTGAAGTACGCTCAGGAGGTTTCATCCCCTGGAAGGAAGTTTTGGCCTCAGCCACCCGTCTTCTTTCCAGGCAGGAGGGGTAAAATCTGGGCCATTTCCAGAAAGAGCACGGCTGCCTTCAGCTTAGCCGGCCTTCTTCCTCCATGTCCGCCTCGGCCAGTTCTCCCTGGCGCCAGACCCTCTCAGTGGTCATTCTGTCCATTCCTCTGTCTTCAGACACAGACAGCTTGCCCCTCAGGTCCCGGGCTGAGACAGTCTGTCCTAACTGGGCCCACACTCATCGCGGCAGAGGCCTGCTTCATGACCTTGGCAGTCATGCTCACGTCCATCTGCATGGTTCAGGGGCCCCCGAACCACTTTGTTGAGTTGGAAATGGAGCCCTAGAAACTGGTCAGGAGGAGGCCTTGGAATGGGAAGTTTCTCTCCTGTTTTGGGGGAGTCCTAGGAACCTGTTTTTCAGGTTGCCTTTAACAGGAAGCACTTCTATTGGTCTGGGCAGGGGAAGGGTGACACTGGGGCGAGCAGCAGGACCAGTCCACAGGTATTTATTGATGGCCTGCTATCCATAACCACAGGCCCTGGCATGAGGGATATGGCAAATGAGTTGGTAAAAATGCTGCTTTGAATACGTTTTGGAGGTAGGTGGGATAGTATCACAAAAAAAACAAAACATATCCCCATGATATGATTATTCATGTGTCAATGACCAGATGAATGGCACTGACAGAGAGACGTACTGGAGTTGAGAGGTGGGAGAGAGAGTTCTCCTTGCTGAGGTGTTCAGGGAGGGCTTCATGGAGGAGGAGAGGTTTTAGGAAAAGAGGGGAAGCAGTTCCACCAGGAAAGGCCTGGATGTGAGAACAAGTAAAGGGATGTAGGGGGCAGGTCTGGGTGGAGCAGAGCTTTTGGGCATGGAAACTGAGGTCTGTGAAGGGGCAGGGCCAATGCAGGAGGGAGGCCTTGAAGAGTTAGGACCCACAGGCCTCTCATCCCAGGCTGCTGCCATTTCACACAAAGAGCAGGAAGCGCAGAGCTCAAGGTGGGATTCAAATCCTGTTATCCCCATTAGTAGTGGATGACTTGGGCCACTCATTTAACTTCTGCATATCTGTAAAGTGGGCCTCAAAAGTAATAATGGGCCCTGGCTGGTGTGCTCAGTGGTTGGAGTGTTGGCCTGCACACTGAAGGGTCTCAGGCTTGATTCTGGGTCAAGGGCACATATTTGGGTTGCAGGTTTACTCCCCATTCCCGGTTAGGCTGTGTGCAGGAGGTAACCAGTCAATGTGTCTCTCTCACATGATGTTTCTCTCTCTCTTTCTCTGAGAAGCAATGGAAAAAATATCCTCAGGTGAGGATTTTTTTTTTAAAAAGGTAGTAATGGTGCCTACATCACAGGGTGCTTGTGGTGGAGGAGACGGTATTGATGAAAACGCCTGGCGTGTTGGCACAGTGATAGTTACTCTATCCTTGTTCCTTTTTGAACCGTCAGCGGCTGCCCGAGCTAGAGGCCTGGCTGATGTGTGTCCAGGTGGATGTTTGCAGTGCCAATAGGAAGTTTTTTATTTTCCAAACTGTGCCTCCCAACGTGGGGACAGCCAGGTTCCATCTTGGGTTGGAGTCATGTCCTGCCTCTGGAGGCATTCTGTCCCCATGGCCATCGGCCTTGGAGAGAGAGCCAATCTGGGGGTGTTTGTCCTGAGGACTCACGCTGCCTCTCCCCTTTGTCCACAGCCTGTCAACACGGAGAGTGCACCAAAGAATGTAGTGGACACGGTGAGTGACAGCAGGCCCCGGGGTGGGGTGGCGGGGAGCCGCCTGGGAGAAAGGAAAGCGGAAGATGGATTTGGGGAAAGTGAACAGATGTGTTTGGGGATATCCTTCTGGAGTAGATATGGGGAAGTTGGGGGAAGTGGTGGGGCCATGGGTGACGTTGGGGGCTGGTGCATTTGGAAATGGATTCTTGGGGAACTAGGCAGGCCGAGCAGGAGAGGCAGGGGTGGGAGCGGAGAGAGAGAGGCCAGTGGTTAAATGTGGGTTTCTTTATTAAATATGTAGGAATTGAGAAAGCCAGGCAGATCTTTCCGAATAGATCTTTCTGACTTAGCAGAGAGACAGACAATCTCAAGGCTGCAAGGAGGAGGAAGAGGAAAAAGTCAGTGGGCCCTGAGGTGGGAACTGAGGTTAGCAGCTGTGAGGTGTCTCCAGCAATGGCTGGTGTTGAATGGCTTGGAGCGGGAGACTCCTCCGAGCTCCTAATTGTGTGACTATAGGCAAGTCATGAGCCTGTCTGCGCCTTAGTTTCCTTATCTGCAAAATGAGAATAATAATATTTCCCAGGGTTGTTGTGAGACACAGAGAAGAGGGTTTGATTAGCTCTGAGAGGCCTTCAGTGGACAAAGAAATGTTAGACAGCCAAGTCTCCCCAACCCTACCCCACCCCACCACACCCCGGGCCCTTCTGCAAATTCTCTGACCCCCCGACCCCTGCCAAACCCAGCAGGTAAAAGACCTAGTGCCTTTTGATTACTTTCTTTGACTCCCCTTTCTTACTGTCTTGTCCCTCTGTCCAGGGAGAAGGAACCTTCCGGGGTGGGAACACTCGGAAAAGCCTTGAGGAAGACGTAAGTATGGGGCGGACGGGTAGAGAAGGATGTGGCTGGGTTCCTGGTGCTCAGAGGGGCTGGGGATGGGTGTGTGATATCTCACACCTCTCTTATTTGGTGGGGCATCCCTTCCTCCTCTCCAGAGGGCAGGCAGGGTTGCCCAGCTTGGTTGCTGAGCAAGGGAGGAGGGGCTGGGTGAGCAGACCCCATCTATTTATACACTGGGCCTCAGTCTTGGTCTTGGCCTCCAGCTCAGCTGGGTCCAGAGCACTTTTGCCCATCACTTTGCCAGGGTGGGAGTGGGGAGGAGGGTGGGCTTTGTGAGGCCTGGTTGGGTGGTGGGTGAGTAGTCACCAAGGTGAGGGCAAGGAGAATGGTCAACACTGTAGGGACCAAGGGCAGAGATGAAGAGGGACTCTTGAGCCCTTAGAGCAGTGGTTCTCAACCTTCCTAATGCCGTGACCCTTTAATACAGTTCCTCATGTTGTGATGACCCCCAACCATAAAATTGTTTTCATTGCTACTTCATAACTGTAATTTTGCTACTGTTATGAATCGTAATGTAAATATCTGATATGCAGGATGTATTTTCATTGTTACAAATTGAACATAATTAAAGCATAGTGATTAATCACAAAAAAATATGTAATTATATATGTGTTTTCCTATGGTCTTAGGCGACCCCTGTGAAAGGGTTGTTCGACCCCCAAGAGGGTCGCGACCCACAGGTTTGAGAACTGCTGCCTTAGAGGGTCATCAGATCTTTGGGAATTGCATGCTCTGCTTCTTTGGAGAGAGAAAAAAGTGCAGAATCCTTTGTGTGGCTCAAATGTCATTGATTCAGGAAGAATCTAGAAGGTGGGCCGACTGACTGGTCCACCATGCTCCTACTGCCATGCATTTTTGCTGGAAGTCAGTGAGCACATTTCTTAAGTGGAAGGACCCAGAGGAGGGTAGCGGGGGCTCTCCCACCGCCCTGCTTTGGTCAATACTTGTGGCGGGACTTGTCCTCACACCCCAGGAGCCGACGCCCGACCGAGTTGGACCTTTTTCTTCCTTCCCTTCTCTGACAATTTGCCCCTGTGCTGGCCTCTCCATCCTTGCCCGCCTTGATCTGCAGAGGAACAGGGAGTGGTTTTGGCGGTTGGCACAGGGGGAGCTGTTGATGGCATGAGGCCCTATCATCTGACAGCTGCCTGACCCATGGTGGGGAGGGCCCAGAGGGAGGTGCTGGGGCAGCAGGAGGCAGCTTCTGCAGGCGGCAGCACTTCTGCGGTGAGCCCACCGCCACTGCCTCATTGCCAGGGGCAGCCTGCACAGCGAGGGGAGGCGTCCTCGTCCTCCAGAAGAGCGGGAGCATGCCTCTCAAACTAGTGGGGAAGGCTCTGCTCAAGGTAGGAGGGGTCCTGTGAGCACAGGTACACGTGCTGGAGAGGGGCCCTTGTCCGAGTTTGTGATGTTTCTGGGGCTGGAGTGCAGGGGAGAAATTCTTTTTTGTGTACCTGCTATTGAGGATTAACTAGCTTAATGCACGCAAAGCACATGATATGTGCTCAATACATGGTAGCTGTCTTATGACTGCTATTTTGACTGAGGGCCAGGAGCTGGGCTGGGTATTTTTTGATCCCCATGACAGCCCCTGTGGCAGATGCTGTGACCCCATTTTGTAGATAAGCAAACAGAGGCTTGGAGGGGCTCGATGCCTCAATGTCTTCTCCATTTCTTCCCGGGACCATTGCTTGGATCTGGTGTTGCCAGGATTCCCTACCTTGGTCGGGGGAGGGACAGGGTGATGGTGTGTGAACCAAGACTAAAATTTACCAATGGTCTACAAACTCTTGTAAGTCAAGTCCTAGAGCTGCTGCTCCCACACCCCAGCCTGGGTCTGACAGACCCTGGAGGGTAAGGCTGCAGTAGGAGAGAGTGAAGTTAGACATCAGGAAGAACTTTTTGACACGTGGGTGTGTATGACTTTAGTCCTGGGGAAGAAAGAGGTGGCTATTTCATTGGGACTGGAGGTTTTATTTAGGAGAAAGTTGTGTTGATCTGGGATGAATGTGTGTGTCAGGGGTGGGTAAGGGTGGTGTCCTGTCTGGATGTGGGAGGAGAGACCAGCGGTGTTTTGGTTGTTAGTCTAGTTTAAGGAGTGCCTGAAAGGCAAAGCAGGCTCCAGAATGGCCTGCGTACTGCAAGGAAGGAGAGGAAACCCAAGTTTAAGGTCCCAGACATCTGTTGTGGGTTGGATGACCTCAGGGTGATTGAGTCAGTCCCCTGCCCAGCGGTGGGCTCCCTGCAGCCTGCCGCAGGTGAAGGGACCCGCTTCCAAGGTGACATGGCTGAAGTCCTGGGCCTGCCGCTGGGACAATACGCCTGTTTTTTTGAGCTGTTTTCCTGTCTCTGGCCCGTGGCCCAGGGTTCAGGGCAGGAATGGCTGTTTTCCTCTGACGGCTGGTGTGCAGTGGAGTTCGTGGATGGTGTGCTGTGTCGCACTTTGTTTTGGAAAAATCCAGGCTGGTGGGCAGGAAGGAGAGAGGAAGGGGTGTGGCTGGAGGGGCTGGTGTCGGGGGCGGGGCGGCCACAGCTCTCAGAGGAGACCTAGGAATGGGGATGGGCTCCTGATGTAGGTTGGTCACCAATTTCTGGCTGCCTGACATGGCCCCTGATATTGCTTACACACCCTCCTCCCAACTGTGCCCCCTGGGGACTGGGGCTCAGGAAACAGCTTTTCTTTTGGTCTAGGGCTGTTGTGTTTGGTCTATGGACCTCAAAGGAAGGCAGGACTCTTCCCACACAGTGGCTTCTCTAACCAACCCCACCCAGGTCCCAGGGTTCCTGCTCCTTGCTGAATGGCGGGGAGAAGGTTGATAACAGAGCATAGGGTCATAGTCTTTGAGCGCTCGGGAACGGCTGAGCGGTGATCAGCAGCGAGGACCAAAGCAAAAAGAGTTGGCTGGACCTGTGGTAGGAAGGGTGAGGGTTAGACATCAGGAAGAACTTACCGGTAGTAAGAGAAGTAGAACCCTGTTTTGGTGACGCTGTGGAATTTCCGTTAGTGGTGTCCTTTCAACAAAGGACGGACTATTTTGGTGACAACAATAGGGGAGAGTTCTGCTTGGTGCACAGGGAATTGGATCAAAAGTCCTATTATTGATCTATGTCCTGGTAGGGGCCGGGAGGAAGTTCGAAGCCCTGTGGAGAGAGAGAGCTTTGAGAGCCTCAGTGAGGAAAAGAATGGGATGACAGGCTGAGAGCTTAATTTTCTTTTCAAAATAAAATCTTTGTAGTACTCTTTGTAGAGCCATCTGATAGTTGTCCCTAAGGGCTCTAAGTGGAACAGGTCAATGATGTAGAATCACATGAAACTGTGCTGGACCCATTTTACAGATGGCTCAGTGAGACCGAGGGGCTGCCGCCGCCAGGGCTCCGGTGATGAGTACATTTCTTCATAGAATAGAAGCTCTCTGAGGTCAGGGCTCCTCCTCCCCTGGGCTCCTGGTGCTTAGAACATTGCCAGGCACACAGCCTGCAGCACTCAGTGAAAGTTTACTGAAAAAGGGAGTGAGCACGGAGCTGGGTGGCAGAGATGACCACATCTCTCCCCCGTCCCCCAGCCCTCTTGAAAAGGGCCTGCATGCTGAGGCACGCTAGAGAACGCCCGTTTCCAGCCGTGTGTGTGTGAGGTCACCTGTGTTTTCTTGAGCGTTAGGTTGTGTTTGCTCACAGCCCGCCCCTGCTCCCCCACCCGCGCCCATTCGTGGTTCTCTGGTTCTCCCTGTGGCTCTGTGTCCACCGACACTCGGACGTGTCACCCGTGCACGTCTGCTTTCTGCCAGCAAGTGTCACATGCCCCCCAACTTTGCAGAAAACAGGAAGCCCCATCAGTCAGAGGGCAGCCCAGTGATTCATCAGCGGATGACAATCCAGCTGTTCGTCCCCATCCTCTGGTGGGGTCACTGTCCAGGGCAGCTTCGCCCCCGCCCCCCCCCCCCCCCGCCCTCCACACCATGCGCGCCTTTCCCATCCTCCCCGCCAGCCCCCAGAAAGGGCCTGGGGCCAGGCCCACAGTGCTTAGCGGCCCCTCAGCCATGGGATCCCCCCCCCCCCCCCCCCCCCCCTTCCCTGGCGGGCCTGCTGGAGAGAGCAGGCTTGGACTTTGCCTTATCACCTCTGGAAGCGGCATGGCCAGACTCGGTTGGGGCCAAGCTTTTATTTATCCTCCCTGGCTTTTTTTGGGGTGGGGAGGCTAAGGAATGTGGAGTGTTGTAACGTTGGGAAGGGGGGGTGTGGGAACAGGAGCCAGCTCTCCTGCCCTGCTCATCCTTCTCAGCCCTGTGCCGTGGAAGCGCCAGGCCCCCTCAGCCCCCCGGCCCCCCTGCCAGGCCCATCTCAGTATCCCCTTGTCTCCCTGTGCTCCCTGTGCCTGGACCTGTGGTCCTGGCCACACCTCAAGCCTTGGCTCCAGTTGTGGCTTCCAGTTGTTTGAAGCAGCTGTGGTGGCCTCCTCCAAACGTGGCTGTGGATCCATAACAGATGAAACCCGAGGGGCTATTTATAGCGGGGTGGCCCTGGGCCTGGAGCAGGGCCCACGCCTGGGGAGGCTCAGCGACTCCTCGTCAGGGCCCAGCGCGGTGGAGAGAGATGAAGTGTTGGGTTTCTGTGTTCCGCTGGGTGGGTAGTTTTGGAACAGCCTGGTTTGGGCCTTGAAAACCAAACACAACCCTCCTCACCCCCGCCTCACCCCAATGCCTGACTCATGCAAGCCCAAGTCCTCAGGGCCAGGAGAGCTGCGGAGACAGAAGCTTTCTGCCCTGACAGACAGCCCCACTTGGCGTTTCCTCCTGCTGCCCGCCGAGGCCGAGCTACTCCGGCTGGGTGGGAGCCCAGGCAGAGGGGACTCGGGGTGCAGCTTGCTCCCTGCCGATGGATGGGGAGTCCTCTTAGCGGGGCTGCCCTGATTTTGGGCTCAGCTGGGAGCTGGGCCTCCAGGCCCACCCCGTCCTGCCTCGGAGGCCCTGCGGGGCCTGGAGAGGGCTGAAGGGAGTCAAGCCTGAAGTTTGAGGGTGAATCCTGCCAGTCGCCAGGACTTGGGGGTAAGTCACTGTTGCCTCAGTTTCCCCACTCCTTGGCAGATTGCAGTCCTGTCTCCTCCAAGAAGTGGTTGCAACTTGGTGGTTGGGAAAGGCTGGTTCCTGGGAGGCCTGTGAATGCTTGGACAGTGCCAATACGCTCAGAGGGCTTGGCTGGGCCTGGGATTCTGGGTGCTGGGTATCTGATTCTGCATCGTGTGAGGTGGCTGAAAGGATGGGCGGCTGGTGGTAGAAGTGATCCAAGGGTTTGACTTGGAGGTGAAGGTTTGATTGTATCCCTAACTGCCCTTATAATTGTACTTGATGTAATAACAGTAATCACATATATGTCACTGTTATATGTGTAATTCCTTTTCATTTTCAAACAACCTATACTCCCACTGTACATGTGACATTCCAGAGGCTCAGAGCATTAAGTAGGAAGGCTGCCCAGCGGGGTGCTGAGGGACTCAGCCTGGGCTTCCTCACTGTGTCGTTGGTGCCCTGGCATGTTTTGGACACCAACTTGGGTCCCTTCGCCTGGTTTTGTATAAGTTGACAGCCCTGGAAATGGGAGGGGGAGAAGGGGTAGCATACGATGGGCGGTGGGTCCTCGGGGGCACGATTTGCTGCCTGAGCTGCTCTCCGTAGGTGCACGTTGTGCTGGCTGCTCTGTTTCTAAACCTCTGATTGAATGGCTCGTGTTTCTGCTTTAAAGAAGAGGAGTGTGGCATGGCAATGGTCGGAGGAGGAAGGTTTAGAGCCGGAGAGAGGGTGCCATCACCCACCTTTCCTTCTCTCGTGCTTGCAGTCTGTATCCTCCCCTCGGGGTTCCTATTACGATGGCCAGTGAATCGGGATGAGATGAGTTTCCAGTGTCAGTGACTGTTTTATTGAGTGTGTGCTCAGTACAGATGGCACCAGCCCAGGCGTGGCACGTTTCTCAACATTGGGATTCCTTCCTCGCCGGGGGCTCAGAGGCTCGCAAGCACACTCACGTGGAATTGGCATAGACTGCTCTTGGCTCTGTGGTGTTAGGGTGCCTGGGCTGGAATGTTGGCAGAGAAAGGAGAAGTGGATTTGCGTTTGCCCATGACCCTGACTGCGCCGGTGGACAGCTCTCAGCCTGCCTCCTCCACAATGCTGCTTCTCTTTTCTCTTTTCCAGGGCTCCATCAGAGTCACCCCGAGTGTCCAGCCCCCTCCCCAGCCCGTCAGGTATGCCTGGCCTGTGGGGGGCACAGGGTGGGGGTCCCGGCCATGAGGTCACTGTGGGAGTTCCTGGCAAGTCATGCCTTTGGGTCTCCGAGACCGAAGTCATAAAGCCAGTGGTAGGAAGCCCGGGCAGCCGTGGTACCGCCCCTGGAGGGTGTGGGTGGATGCCGCTGGGAAAGGGTCATGCTCTGGGTTCTAGCTGGAAGCCAGCCTTGAGCCGAATTCTTTACGTACCTGCATGATTCATCTAGTCCTTGCAACAGCCCTGCAAGGTAAGTGTTTTATTCCCATTTGGCAGATGAAGAAACAGTTTCAGAGGTGGCTTGTTAGAGGTCGCACAGGGGCCTTGGTGGCTTGCGGACACAGCCTTTTCCCTGCGCCCAGCTTCTCTGCTTCTCTCTGTCTCACCTTCACCCCTGAGGCTCCAGAGATGAGTGAGAATCTGGCCCCAGGAAGATGGGGTTCCAGGGAGAGGGGACCTGGAGTGTGGGTGAAACCCCCAGGAGGTTGTGGTCCAGCCACCCGCTACCTTCTGTCCTGATCTGCTCTTCAGAAGATCCCCTTCTCCCCCCACAGCTGAGAAGCACCTTGGGTGGGCGGGTGTGGAGTGTGGTGCTGAGGTGGTCAGGCGGTGGCGCTGTTTTGCCTGGCGCAGGCAGTGACCTGAGGTAGGAGCCCGCCTCAAAGAAGCTCATCTTGGGGATGAGGGATGGCCGGGGCTCAGAGCTCAAGTCACACTGGACCTTACTGCAGCCACTGGCCCTTCCACCACTTGGTCCCTGTCAATGCCACCATGGAGAAGCCTCACATCACCCCGGCTCCCCCATCTCCTGGGCTCAGAGTTAACCTGGTGGAGACCGGGATTCTGCCCTACTTCTTAGGGGTCCTCCCCAGTGCCGCCCCATCACTTTGAAATACCCTGGTGGTATTCCTCCTGCTGCCCTCCAGTCTCAACTTTACCCCGCTGTAGTGACAGGTTGTCAAAATGAAATGTGAGTGTTGTCCACCTCGGACAGAGAGGGGAAGCCAGACACTAGGAGACTGCTGATGGGTAAGAAGTTGTCGGGGTGGGGAGCGTGTGCAGTGCCTCCAGAAGCTACAGGGCTTCAGAAGGGAATTTCAGCATCTCAAGATCCATTCCCCCTTCCCATCAGCACCCCAGTGGGCCCTTGGACCCTCCCCCTGGAAGAGAAGCTGGGTGGAGGTGTCAAGATGTGAGCCTCTACCTCCCCTCATCCAGTGCCCAGTTCAGGTGGCTCTCTACTCTCCACGGAGCTCAGATGCTGCTGGGATGTCGGGGGCTCTGCACCCTCTGCTTCCTGGGCCCTTTGCAATCAGGGAGGCCACAGCCACACAGTGCTGGAGTGTGGGAGCTGCCAGAGGTGGGGATCGAGCCAGGGAACAAAGGGCAGGAGGTGGCCTGCCTCCGGGGAGGGCTGGAATGTGCGCTGTGGTCTGGCTCACCTGGAGCCCAGGTGAGCGTGTCACCTGAGCTGCCCCTTCCCCTGAGAGGCCTCCCGCCCACTCCACAATTCCGAAGCCAAGGAGGGCAACAGAAGACTCAGCCAGGGAGCTGGGGAGAACCACTCAGCCTCTCTTTCCCCTTCCACAGCTGTCCCAGGAGCCTTGGAGACACTCCGCCAGACCAGGCTGCAGTGTGTCAGGGGGCAGAGCTGTGCTCCTGGGGTCCTGGCCAGCTCTGGCCCTGGCTCTGACCGCTAGGATCTGGGTGAAGGCAGTGCTGAGAGAACTGCTGGGCACCTGGGATTGGTGTCATCACCATTTGGTTCTGACACAGCCTGAGATCCTTGCCGCCCCTGCCCAGCTCTTTCTCTCTGTCGCCTCAGACTAGCCTTGCTGGCTGCACTGGCCTTGCCAGGGGAAGCCTCTGACCTTGGCTCTGGGTCTGGGAGCAGCCAAACCCCCTGGGTTGGATGTGGGGGCCATGCACAGTGTGTAGGGGATGCAGACATCTGGTCTTTGCCCTGGGAACTAGATTCTGATCTACAACCCCCTCTCTGCTAGTCTTCCCAGAAACATGAGTGTGAGCCAGACCATGGAGGACAGTTGTGAGCTGGACCTGGTGTACGTCACAGAGAGGATCATCGCCGTCTCCTTCCCCAGCACAGCCAATGAGGAGAATTTCCGGAGCAACCTCCGTGAGGTGGCCCAGATGCTCAAGTCCAAACATGGAGGCAACTACCTGGTGAGGGTGGGCCTCTCGCCACTTTGCCAGCGCCCCTCTGCCCTTTCTGCCTGCCCCTCACTGCTGTGTGTGCATGCATATGTATGTGCAGAGTGCATGCATGTGCGTGCATGTGTGTGTGTTGACCAGGAGGAGAGTAATAATAAGAGCTCATGTTATGGAGCGTGTACTATAAGCCAGGCCTTGTTCCAACTGCTTTCCGCATATTTAACCTTCAGGGCAGCCTATAAAGCAGGTTTTGTTAGAGCTCAGAGAGATGGGGTATTTGTTTAAGTTCACAGTATCAGGAAGTGATGGAGCTGGCACCTTGCTGGCACCTCTGAGAAGTCTTAAGGCAGAGTTGTGGCAGAGGTCCTTGTGTTGCTGACATGGGGACTGTACCTGGCCCGGGCGAGTCACCTAACAAATGTAGGCCACTTTACTGGGAGGTACATGCGACTGGACCAATAGACCAGACTGTGCAACCTTCAGGGGCTGCCCTTGGCTGTGTGAGCAGAGGTGGCTGTAGGAGGCTGTATTAGGTCCCTGGTGCTGCTGTAACAAATTACCACAAACTCGGTGGCTTAAAACAACAGAATTTAACTTTTCACAGCTCTGGGGGCTACAAGTCCAAATTGAGGTATTGGCAGGGCCATGTTCCTCTGAATTGTGTATGCCTTGCCTCTTCCTGGTGCTGGTTGGTCCGGCATCCGTGGTGGTCCCCGGCTTGTAGCTTCATCACTTCGATCTCTGCCTCCGTCGTCACAGGACCTTCCTTCTTTCCTGTGACTCTGTGTGTCCTTTCCTCTTCTTATAAGGACACCAGCTATTGGATTAGGGTCCACCCTAAATTCGGGATGATCTCATCTCCAGATCCTTAACTACTTACATCAGCAAAGGCCCTATTTCCAAATAAGGTCACATTCTGAAGTTCAGGGGGATGTGAATTTTTGTGGGACACCATTAAACCCACTACAGACACCCATCCATCAGCTGTGTCAGACATTGTTAAGAGCTTGGTTTGAAACATCAGAAAGTCCTGGGTTCGAATGCAGGCTCTGCTCTTATTAAGTAGCTGATCTCGGCCACTTAGTCTCACTAAGCCTTAAGTTCCCCATCTATAAAGTGAGTCTAATAATACTACCCAAGTCTTATGGTGCTTGAAAGAATGAAGCAACTGGTAGATGTAAAATTCTTAGCATGGGTATGGCAGGCTGTGGAAACTCGAGTAGTAGCTGTTGTTCACATAATAAACGTGTTCCATTATGGGGCTCAAGAGTGGACTAGAAGCCATCTACGGTCCTTCCTGACTTTGGGAGTCCAGGATTTCATGGGACTCTGTGCTATGTCACCCTCCCTCCATCCTCCTATACCAGACCGTGGGGTCCTCTTTTCTCCCCAGGAGGCAACATAGTGGTCTTTGAGTTTCCTAGGCAGTGAGGTAGAGGTGGAGACAGGAATTCCAGAGATTGGGGGATTCTCATGGGCTGTGGTTAGGTGCCGGAGAACGTCTTCTGAGAGAGGATGTCAAGGGTCTGAGAGGGCTCACCCAGGACAGTTTGTATCCTCTGATGGGGGGTGTCTGACCGCAGAGCCATTGCATCTTCATGGGGTGAGTTTCTAAAGTCCACCTGTGGAATGGAAACTAGAGAAGGCCAATGCTGAACATGGGACCCGAGACCGGTTCCATCCCCTTCTCATCTTTAGTTCTGGATGTCCGCTCACAGAGGGGAG